GAACATGGGATGTTTTGATTCTTCATTTGCTGTGCTCATCTCTAGAGGATGCAATTGCCTATATTAAAAAATGAGCATAGGCTCTTTTGTGGAGGATAATAAAAATGTGTAAGATAATACATGCCACATGCATATATGGTTGACATATGGCTGTTGTCTTTGGGTATAGAATTGTTGCCCTTAGCTGATACTGTGCAGCAGCCACATGGAAATATTCATTATTAGCCACTTAGGAATGAGACCAATTCCTTTGATCTCATTAGTTTGATCATGATTATTCCATTTTAACTAATACATGGCGTTTGTAAAGGTGTTTTCAGTAGATTATTCACTTGCAAGGGCATTTTGTGTTTTATTCTAATCAGCGAAAGAGAAATGCATGTTACAAAGTTTTCTTTTGTCTCATTGTGAATGTGTACAAGACATAGTAAAAGACATAAAGCAGGTTTTTTTCTTTTTCTTTCTTTTTTATTCTACATTTAAAAAAATGAATGGCATTTGAGTTGCAGATTTTGTCTACATGTTGATATACTTGAAAATACTGGTACATACTTTTGAGGTAAAGAAATACTTTTGATGTCGTTATGGTATAGGTTGATATTTAGCAGTATTACCTTTTGATTTAATGAAAACTTGCATTCATCTCGATTATTATTCCATAAAGTTTGCAGAATTATAGTGATCCTGGCTACATTCAGAGCCCTTCTCTTGGCTTTAAAACAAAACAAAACAAAACAAAACAAAACAAAACAAAAAATACAATCTTTCCCTTATAAAAAATACATAAAAGAAAAACATCTTGAGATGTCTCTGACTTGAACAAATTAGCTGAAGGCTAATTAGAATTAGTGAAAAATGTAAGATTAGACGATATGTGTTTTGAAAAAAGGTATATGTTTAAGTCAGTGGTCTTATTTTTATTTATTTTTTATTATTATGTTATGTTAATCACCATACATGACATCATTAGTTTTTGATGTAGTGTTCCATGATTCATTGTTTGCATATAACACCCAGTGCTCCATGCAGCGGTCTCATTTAAATAGATGTAACTAAGAACCATATTTGTTTTTGATCTGTCCAGCACTGCCCTTCCTTGGTACACTGTTCTTCATTTCTTCAAATGTGTGGGCTGTCAAAATCTGCACCTTGTAGCTCTGTGGTCATGTGACTGAAACCTGGCCAATCCCAATGTCCTTATGGCTTGTCAGCCTGTTTGCTCTAGAGGTTGGGACGCTCTCCACTCTTGGCCAATAACAGTCACACCTAGGATGTTTCCATCTGGGGATCTTGAGAAAAAGAGGTTTTGGGTTTTTAGAGTTATAAAGATGTAAATCGGTGGCAAGCAGGGGCCTAGCAAATAAAGCCAGTCAGGTAAGAGGAAATGAGTGCTGGGAGGAGGCAGAGTTTAGTTGCTTCATGTCCCAGTTCTGGTGGAATTCAGACCTGCCCATTTCTTTCCAGTATCCTTAAAAAATACTCCCCTTTTTTTCTTAACTGCTTTGCTTAAGTTGCAAAAGTCCTGTCAAGTGAAATATATAAGAATTCTTAATCAACATGGTATTTGCATTAAATGGGTTACTTCTTTTTTTTTTTAAGATTTTATTTATTTATTTGACAGAGAGAGACACGGTGAGAGAGGGAACACAAGCAGGGGGAGTGGGAGAGGGAGAAGCAGGCTTCCTGCTGAGCAGGGAGCCTGATGCGGGCCTCAATGCAAAGCTCGATCCCAAGACCCTGGGATCATGACCCGAGCCGAAGGCAGACGCTTAACAACTGAGCCACCCAGGCAACTCTTAAATGGGTTACTTCTAATGCACCACGTATTGTAAGTATTTCTTGGTTTCTTAAGATATTTTTTTTTTTTAAGATTTTATTTATTTGACAGAGAGAGACACAGCGAGAGAGGGAACACAAGCAGGGGGAGTGGGAGAGGGAGAAGCAGACTTCCCGCAGAGCAGGGAGCCCGATGCGGGACTCGATCCCAGGATCCCGGGATCATGACCCGAGCCGAAGGCAGACGCTTAACGACTGAGCCACCCAGGTGCCCCAAGATATTTTTATTTAAACAAAGTTTGGACCAGCTAGAGCCTTCACTGATAAGGAAAAGGTAAATTTTATTTTTGCTGAATAATCATAAATCCTGAATTAACAACATCCACATTATTGGAATTTTGCAGCATTAATGCTGATCAATTTGGATAGTGTCCAAAACCTTGCTTGGGCCCTGGACCCAGCTTGCATAACTATATACTTTTCTCTCTCTAATTCTCAAATCAAATTCATTGGCCTACTCTCTCCTCTTGAAATCAGAGTTTGCAGCCTCCTGGCTTTCCTCCAAAAGTCTTTCATTGTTTCACAAGCCATCCTTGTTTTCAATTCATCCTTCTTTATCCACTGTGTAAACTAGGTGGACCTGAAAACTTAGGAAAAATCTAAAGCATTTGGTTGTTATTAGAGTAAGGATAGCTGACTCACACATGTAAAACATTAAAGAAAACTTACAAATGTTTGAGTGATTTTTTTTTCTTTTGTTGTTGTTTGGGACTGTGGAGTATTTAACCACATCCTGCCATGCATAGAGCACTTGAGCTTCTTTTTTTTTATTACCAGGTGTAGTTATGTATAGGCTAATAAAACAAACAAGGACAATATTTTTATTTTCTTTTCCCAGCATTTTTATTGATTTATTTAAATGTAACATACTATACACTGTTCAGCCTTTTGGGAGGTAGGAGGAGGGAGGGATTCTATATCTTTATGAGGAGTCTCCTCAGAACCAACACTCAGATGGACACACATTTGTGGCTGACACACCTTGACATCGTGGCCAGGGGCCACACTTCCCGCAGAGGTTGAGCTCCCAAAATCATCATGATTTTTTTTTTAACATACAATATTCAGGGCTGGAAGTGACTTTTCTTCAGTAGCACAATCCAGCTGCAAAGGGGACCAGAATTCTATTTCAATATCAAGCAAGATGCCGTTTTTAAATGCCGGAGAATCTCCTTTCTCCTTACCAGACTGTTTTTGTCCTTATCTCTGTGTGTGTGTGTGTGTGTGTGTGTGTGTGTGTGTGTGTGTGTGTGGTGTTGGGGTGTGGGTGGGGGTGAGGGAGATGTTTTCTATTTTTGGCTTCTGCAAGCTTTGATATATTTTGCTAGAAGCTGTTTTAGTGTTTGGAGTCCGATAATGATGCCTGTTTACACATAGTCTCCTTGGTAATCTAAATGGCTATGTGAAATACGAATCCAGTTTGTGCCCTGTTTGCTGTTCATGCAGTCATCTAATCCTATATTTGTCTCACCAAACATTTAATTTTGGTTTTGGGTGGTCTGTGTTCGTGTGTCAGGTGCAATTATTATTTTAAAATAAAAGAACAAAGATAATCTAGTTCTGATAGCAATACATTACATTATAGGTCTCAGACTCAGTTACCAATTACATTTTCACATGCAGATTCCAACCACAAAAATTAAACATTTTTAGAATGTGATTTGTTAAGAAGCAAGTTGGAAGCCAAGTGCCATCAAATGCAACTTTAGCCATAAGCCAAAACTCTCTGCCTCAAATGTGTATCTTTTGAAATCCCAACTTTTTTAAGGAATGAAAAAAAAATAAGATCTTTTATGGGATGACTTTATGGGAAAGTTTCTTAATAAAACTAATTCTTAAATAACAGATTAACTGGAAGTGCTGGTTAAGCATTGACACAATTAAATTATAAGGGAGGATCACAAAACACCAGCCTTTGTTAAACTTTAGTAAAAAGACACATTTAGTGACTCTTTCCCTTGTACCAAAATACTGTGTCCGAACAATAAAAATAAACAGACCTTTTTGAAACAAGAAATATGAAGATAAAACTGCAGCATCAATATAATCTTATAGTTATCACTCAAAGTATTTAAAACAAATAGTATTTTTCTACACTTTTTAAAAAAAATCACTACAGACACTGCAAATAAGGCTTATGTATTTATTTACTGGAATACAATGTGATGATGACTGGTATACTCTTATGTATTGTTTTCTATACCTGCTCTAACAAAATGAATTTTGATATGGTTACATGATGGAATCTTCCAAAGCTCTTTAAATCAACAGAAAATAAGTTTTATTTGGTTTTGTAAAGACTAGATCATACAGCTCGAACAGGTTTCAGTATATGGTTACATATATACGAGGATATATTTGCTCAGTTTAAGCCCCTGGGAGAGTTACACTTCAAATTCCTCGATAATTCCTTTGGGGGAAATGCACTCTGTGGGACTTATAAAGGGTTCTTACATATGCAGACAGCCTCTTCATCACTTACCACCGTGACACACGGCAAAAAATCGTTGGTAAATAATGAGGCTGGGCTACTAAAATTTAACAATTTTCCTTCTTTTAGTGTATTCTTAGAGCCCCATTGGTGTATTGAAAGAGAAGAATTTGGCCTTCTGGTCTATTTTTTTATGAAAGGAAGCCTTAGGAGTGATCGATGTTTTTAAACGATGGCAGATATCTCTCATCAAGCCATGCCACAACACTGTCATATTTATTGTGGATGGTTCTTATTGCAGGAGTGATATTAAGTTAACTCATAGCACATGGGGCTCTCACCCTGCTTCCCTATCTCCTCTCCTATTCTTGAAGTGTTTGCCAAGTTTTAAAAACACTTTGTCATGAACATGCATGTGGTGTGCTGAAGAAAAAGAAAAGGTAAATCAGAGGGCAGCTGCTGAGGATACTCTTTAAAACCCCAAAAGATATTTAACATCCTATTAAATAAATAACTTAGAATGAAATAGAAAGGGATGAAGGCAGAATGCACAAGCATACCGTACTATTTGTTTTGTTAGAACAGTTTAACACTAACATGTTTACATTTTTAAATTCTTACCCAACTCTTCCATGATGCCACGCCCAAAGCGCCTTTGGTTGTGCATATGATGTGACCCAAGTGCTTTCCAGTAAATGCTTGCGTGTCTTACTGCTCATTGAATCATTAGGCTTGCATGAGCAATGAAAGTCTTTGATATGAGTTCGTATTCCATAAATAACTTTCCTGAAGATCCAACAGATTGTTCCATGTCCTTTAAGTTCTAGCTCGGAGGTTAAAAAACAAGAACAGAAACAAAAACTTCTCCAAAAACCTGGCCACAATGTTGTTTGCTTAGGAATAACTTCCATCCCATGTAACTCTGCCTATATCTTGATTATAAGGCATGACACAGAACTAATTAAAAGAACATCATATGTCAGCAGTGAGTACAAAACCTTCAAAGACTTCCTTTCGTTCAAGCAAGCAGACATCTGACATCTGCAGTGTGTCTCTGCCTTTTGAGCTACTGTCTTCATGAAGAATACCAACTAGTCCTGGCAAAAGAACCTTTGGTTCTCCTGCATCCACAAACCTTGCCTTCCTCTATGAGTGTACCACCATTGGAAGAAAATGAGCTGAGGTGTTTTTTCTTCGTGTTTTCTGTCCTCTCCGGGGAGCTCCTTTTCCATTCAATGCCACGTACATTTGCCTCCCATTGTGTTGCCAGTTGAAGGATGCGTACGTATTGTATCCATTTTCCTCTATCCTCTCCTTCAGCTTACAGTCATTGTTAAATTCTTTCTGCAAGGGGAAAATAAGATCTTTTATTCTGGTGATGATGGTACTTACCTCCATTTGACACACACCATCCAGAGAATTCCAGTTCAAGAGTTTTGTTTGCTGTTGCCATTTGTACATAAGTTGTGCACTTAATGCACGGTGTCAACAATAGAAGAGTAGAACTCACAACCACAAAACAGGTTCTGTGTTTGAAGGCTCATGATTCACTTTAATTGATCATCATAACCACATGTTAGGGCCCTTTTAAAAAGCTGGTGTGTTTTGAGTATGACATGGCTTAAGTGCCTAGAATGATTGTCAAGAAGCAAAGATTCCACTATCAGTATTTGTGATGAGTCAATGATAAAGAATATGTTATAATCCTTTTTTTTTTTTCAGAGTAATGACCAGGTCATGGGGAAAACAGAATTACAGAAAAAACTTGGGCTTATCAAGTTTGCAAACTTTACCTATAAATCTATAATAAATACACCCACATTGGTAAGAAAGCAGATCTTATAACAAAATCATAATCGTTGTAGATAACCAAGAGGCCAGAGAGGGGTGGGGGGGATGTTTTCCTTTTTTACAAATACTAGATTTCTCTATTTTGGTAGATAATATACAATTTTCCATAACTTGGAATTTTAATAGATTTACTCTGAGGTCTAGAAATGATTGAAAACTAGGACATGGAATGCCTTGCTTTGTGAATTACCATATCAAAGAAATTACAAACATGGTGACTATCACTGCCTTTATTGTATAAACCTGAGACTTTGATCCTGGGAAATTCCACTCTATAGCCATAGTCCTTTGGCTTTGTTTCAAGTGGCCATGTGTTTTAAGGGGATTTTTGGGACAAGAATTGATGTTTCCTTCATTCCATAAATCCACTTTCTCTGGAGTTACTGATGGAGAGTAACCACTAACTCAAAACTCTGGCTTTAGAAATGTCCCTCCAGGGGCGCCTGGGTGGCTCAGTCCTTAAGCATCTGCCTTCAGCTCAGGTCATGATCTCAGGGTCCTGGGATCGAGCCCCGCATTGGGCTCCCTGCTGCGCGGGAAGCCTGCGTCTCCCTCTCCCACTCTCCCTGCTTGTGTTCCCTCTCTCGCTGTGTCTCTCTCTGTCAAATAAATAAAAT